TTAGTCTCCCGTGGGAGAAATTTGTCCTGAAAGCAGGGGCAAGCACTACAACATGACAATAACAATTGCAATAAAACTCATCAAAAAGACAATAACAACAATAATAGGTTTAAGAGGTAAGTTTTGTGTTCATAGATAAAATTAACTGGTGAAGACTAAGACAATTATAAAGTGAATAAAACCATTATGTCATAATGAGATCATGACAAGAAAAGCAGAATCAAACTAACTGTCTCATTTAGGAGCATTACTCATACACAGGAACATGTGAACTCGGTGTTTGTCTCTCTCAGCCAGTCCTGAAGCCCGGGTCATAGAGGGGGTGGGTGGTCTGATCCAACATGGGACATGGTTTCAAGTAAGAGACAGTTTTAGAGGTTCACAGACTCAGAGCTGAGTTTAGCACGAAGAAGAACACCCCCCAATCTGACCAGCGACCGACAGAAAGACTTCTTATTTTATTTTGATTTCTGTGAGAAGGACAAACATTCAAGATGCAGTCGTGTGCCAGGTGTGGATTTGTGGTCTACCCAGCAGAAAAGATCAACTGCATTGACCAGGTAAAGGACAGTTTATCACAAGATTTAACATTTTGAAATTAACATCTTCCATGACAGCTCAGTTAAACGGTTAAACTGTGGTGGTATGTGAACATTTTGTGTACATTTGGCGACATTGGAAAATAAGTCACTGAACTGGTCAACAGGAACTCGTGCCGTGTTATCATGGGTTTTTAAAAAGTAATTCATCTAATCTTTTTATGTCAGAATTGGCACAAAGCTTGCTTTCACTGCGACATCTGCAAGATGGTCCTCACACCCAATAACTTCATCAGCCACAAGAAGAGGCCGTACTGCTCCGTGTAAGTGCTTTATTCCTCCATTCTTCTGAAACAAAAGCTTTATTTTCACACATTTTATGGCAGACATTTTGACCGATTCCTATTTGATTTAAATTGATTTGTCTATTTTTTTGCTTCTAGGCACAATCCGAGGAACAACACATTCACAAGCGTTTATGAGGCCCCTGTCAACATCAAGGCAAAGAAGCAGAGCAAAGCAAGCAGTGAGGTAAGATCAGACCCCTGACAAAACAGCGTTCCTTCATCCTTCATCGTTCCTTCTTTACGTGGTAAAAGTGGACGGCTGCACCCAGGCGGTTTATGATGGCAGTGGTTTGGAATGAGAAGTGCGGCTCAGTTTATTTCTGTACCTCTGACAGAGGCCAGACGACCCTCCCCTCTGCTTTTGCCCACTTTGAGCTTCAGGTGGCTAAAATTATACGTCAGGAGAGGGGAAATATAACGGCCTCGCATCCCTGCCTTTCCTCTGCCGTGCCACCTGTTTCTGTCCGTCTGAGCTTTCTCCACGAGTTCACGCGACCCTCCTGAGCTCGTATTAGCAGYAGCGAGCACGCTGATTAGCACCGAGCCACTGGAGAAATGTGGAGCTTAACTTTGCGATTGATGGAAACTTCTCTTGGCTGACTTCAGACCCAAAAGTCTCTCTGAAAAGGAGAATATAAAAAAAGAGATAAATTTAGCCCATGCTAAGGATTTTTTGAAATAGATTATTGTTAGCCCTTGTAAATCCCATCCCGTGCAATGCAGCAGTTCTAATATTAGTTTAGAACATGTTTACTGCCAAAGGTTGATCACCAAACAGCCTTCATGTCCTTCATTCTGGATCTTTCTTGCCAGGTCTGGTTTCATCGTTATTGGAAAGTGACATTAATAACAGCACACTGATGTAACCTTCATCATATGAGCCCAGGTTCTTCACAAGCACAAGAATGCAATCTCAAGTCCGACAAGGTTGGGATGTGTGAAATATACGKGAAGCCACGTTCTACTCACAATGGAGCATAGTTTTAATTAAYGGAACAAAAAGGTCCTTTGGAATGTGATGGCAGCAACACATAAAACAGTTGGGATAGTGGTATGTTTCCCTCTGTGAAGCATCACCTCTTCTTTTAACAACAATCTATAAATGTAGAGGATCTGAGGAGACCAGTTGCTGGAGTTTTTATTTTTAATTTGAGGGGAATTTTGTCCCATTCTTGTCTGATGTAGGATTTGTTCAACAGATTTGTTTGTTGAATGGGAGCACATGTTGATCTAAAGCTTTTCTGCATTGATTGTACCTTTCCAAAGGAAGCTTGTTTGTTTGTCTAACTTTATTCATTTCATAAGAAAACAAATTAAATTTTATGTAAAATAAAAATAAAAGAAAATACAAATACAATGAAATGAAAGGAAGCAGATTAAAGAAAAAAAAATCTTATACCTGCCCCTTTTTTCCTCAAGTATAAATTCAAACAATAGTAATCTTAAGTTAACAAACCAAATTAAGAACATCAAATCTTTCTAGAACAACAAATTTTATGTTTACACATTAAACTGTTTCATATTTTTTCAGTAATCCAACTTTTATCATTCTCTTGAACATGTGCTTTGATTTGGCACATTTGACGTCATTTTCCAGATTATTCCACAAACTCACTCCTTGGATTGAGGTGCACCGACCGGTCTTTCAAACTGGTTCTAAATTTTGGTCTCATGAACATCCGTCCTCTTAAGAATATAACAGCTCTCTCTCTTTTTACAAAGTTTTTCTATATTTTTGTGAGCTTTATAAATAACTAACAAAATATTATAATCAATCAATAATTTCAGTTTACAGAATAATATATTAGATGGATAATGGTAATGTTTTCGACTGATTACTCTTATAGCTCTTTTCTGCAAAACAAAAACAGGATTTGCAATCGTCTTACATGCTTTCCCCCATACCTCAACACAATAGACCAAGTGTGGAACAATTGATGCATTATATAACATAAACAGAGTTTTATCATTAAACAAGTCCCTTACTTTGTAAAGCAATAGAATAGATTTAGCTAGTTTTATTCTTAGATAATTTATATGAGGTTTCCGTGTCAGTTTCTCATCAACAATAACACCTAAAAACTTCAACTCACTGACTCTATTTATCTTTACACCAACTCTAAAT